AATAATCAAATTTATGCAAATCAACGCGATCGCAAACGCGATTCGAAACTCTCGAGAGGTTAATACACTTTATCAAGTGGAAAATACCATGTAATTTAATATGGGTCTGGTTTCGGTGTGTGCATTGTTCTCGACTCATTCGTGATAGATTTTGGAGATTTATCGATGTGCATTCGCCTGATCTAGTACTAAGATACAGAGTCTAACAACACTCGAATCGTCAATCAAAACAAATTATTCGTTTCCCTATGGGAATTTCATTTCGGCGCACTTTTGCAGTCGAAAAGTGGTTTATTGATTACCGAACAAGAAAAAAATGCTCAGATTTGAAGCAGAAATTATTAACGCAACAAATTATCGAGCCCTATGTGATCAGAGAAGTTTTTTTTGACGATTTTTTCTTAAATTTTGTTTGAATGATTAGGATATTGAAACATGTCGATTAGCACACTATGATTCTATAGCACTTTCTCTTAGGATGATACAATGTCAACTCGATATACGATAGCATAATTAGCTTCTAAAATGACAATTTTCGAAGCAATTTCTTACTACACAAAGACAAATCGTGGCATAAATGTTCTTATTAATAGAGTTACTTTTCAATATGCCTCTCAAATTTGTCATGAATGGCATTTCACGTTCCCTATCTTTTCTCCTTCTGCATTTCGTTTCTTCTGTTGCAAGGCTGACATCAATTTTTTCTGAAAATGAAACTGTGATACGACAACAAAAACAATTCATTTCTACATCTCCCTTTTCATGGAGTTCTTCTGTTACATACGTACTATGCAATATGCATGGTAGAATGGAACTGAATCGACGCGATAACGTTCGTTCAAATTGAACAAAGTTCAAATCTTTGCTTAAATGCTGCGTCATTTTTCTTTAATAAGGCGATGAAGCTAAAGAAAAAATTTCGAGTAACGCTAAAAAACAAGTGGTTTCAATCAACATGAATAAGCTATTAAATGGTATTCATTGAAATACCCTACGGTTAGTGGTCACTGTAATATTAAAATATTTCAAAAAATAAAGCCATATTAAATTTTGATAAAGTTTTACGCTCCGAAGTGTTAACAATTATCAAAAGGCACGCACAGTACATTAGAGCCAATGCAAAAGTCAATTGATGCGCATAAGTAGCGCCACCTCTAATGATTACGGAGAGTTACCATAAGTCGTATGCAATTGATGTTGAGAAAAAGAAGAAGAAGAAGAAGAAGAAGAAGAAGAAGAAGTAGACATTCTATTCATTTACATGGCAATAATGGCAATCAGTAGAGATGGTGCTCATGTGCCGATCATATCACTGTTACAACCCTTCGACAATTATTATTAAGCTGCTGTTGCTAAGAGAAAAATATGAGATAATGATTTTCGGTTCATTTATAACACAATTTTTTTTATAAAAATACTATATACGTCTACAAATATATTTCTTACTCATTTCATATAAATGGTGCATTTTATCTGTTTTGGATTTCATTTGTTTGATAAGGAGTCTTGCGACGCTCGTATAAACCATTGGACCACTCACAATTTCTACGGTATTTATAACCCAGTATTCAAAATTCGTTCATCGCAAAAATATTGGAAGTCTTTTCTAGCAAAAACTCTTAAAAATGCAAAATAAAAAATGGTTATGTATGTTTAAACTGAAAGTTTTATGAGATAATTAGTTAATCTTTGTGACAACATTCCTTAATTACCGTTCGTGATACCACTCCTAAAGTATTGTCTATCCATCATTGTCTTTAGAGTTGACGTGAGCGAATCGTTTGAAGGGAAATTTAGTGACATCCGCATGGCCTGGAATATAAATAGCCAACAGGACATGCGGATGTCGCTATATCGACAAATTGATATAAGAAATTTATAAATTTCTCAACGAAAACGGCGCTTTTGAAACAAGACGGAACGAACTTTGTTTTGTTCAATTGACGATTTGAAATCTGTTGATTAGTACATACGATGTGTTCAATTTCGTATCACCAGACAACGAACATATACAGCTGATAACTGATTCACCAAATATACCAATTAAACCCAAATTTACCCAATTAAATAGAAAAGATTTTACTGTCGTTGGGAATCGAACCCGAGTCTATTTGCAATATGCCAGTATTTCTGTTCGCTGAGCTACAATGACCCCGATGCATTGGCAAAAGATGTGCTAAACTGAATGGATTTCATAAGGATTTACACAAAAGCTACCAAATCGTATCGAAGACATCTAAAAAGTGCGAATTTAAATGAAAAACACATTGAAATTAAATTATTCACAATTTCTGGACCACAAATGAATGTAAAATTGGTAATGGTGAAAAGCTGCAAATTAGTAGTATTTATTTTTGGTATTTTTTCAAAACATTTTCATGCAATAATTGTTTTCGTAAGATTTTCTTGTTTGATAACTGTATTTTTTGTGCACAAATGTTCTACTTCGACTCTGCATTACTTGAAAGAACGAATATCGAACAATATTAATAAAATTTCAGAACACTTGTTACACTGGAGACGTACGGCCAGCTAATGAAACGAAAAAGAATGTTTTACTTACGAACAAGTCACAAAATTGATATCACAAATGAGTCAATAAGGTTATCGACGAACTGTGTCAACAAAAAGAAGGAAATTTTGTATTTTCTCTCTCCGGAGAATTGAACTTATGATCATGAATAAATATGGGTTGTTTGTATTATCGCTATTGTTACATTTTCGCTCCAAACCATTCATATATAACAAATAAAAATTAGTGAAATAGAAACAACTAATAAACTCATATTCGAGCTATATTTCGGTTTTTTTGCATGCTCATATGATACACACAGTGTATATTATCAACTTTCATTGCGAGCTTTTTTCTATCGCGTATGATGCATTCATTAATCGTTGATACATAATGGAATCAAACTTTTAATGAGCGTTTATATTTTAAAGCGCCCTATAGAATTACTGGACTAAAAAAGCTGATTAAAAGCCAAATCAAAAATATGAAATGTAATCACAAAGCCACGTAGCTTTGTTCGAATGGAAAAACAAACAAAACAAATTGAATTAAAAGCACAATAAAATTATTAAAATGGATTTGTGTAAAAACATTATTGCCTTGATAACTTCGCACAATACCGGCCAATGAAAACCGACACTGTTTAATCTGCGTATAAGAATAATTTAATCATTTCATTTTTCACATAATACATTTTGTGCACCAATTGTTTCTGTTTATTTTAGCTCTTTTATGTTCAATTGAAATCGATGTGATTGTTTATAGCTCATAGCAAAGGGAAAAAAAGGAACAAATTCAGTTTGATCAATTAAAATTCGTTTTTTTTTTCTTTAAATTTATTTTTGAAGAGAAAAAACTCCGTTTCCACGTAATTCAATGAAAAAGTAATACCAGGCGAATGATTCCAATTTTGCCTTTGGCTAAAAGTATATCGGATTTTTATCGCGTTACTGCATTTCTATTTTTTTAGGTTGGGTGTGTTTATTCATCAGAAGCACACAGAAAAAAGTAACCGCAACGACGCAATTTCTATCAAATCATTAAGCTGAACAAATTATGAAGTTCCACATGATTAGCTTTATTTCTAGATTCTTTTTTCATGAGAATCTACGTTGATAGTAAAATGTACTTGTACACTGTGCAGTACCCCTTTCATTCAACAAACGAAAAAGAAAGCGAAAAAATGGGTTGTTCGTTTTTTATGAAAACAAATCCAATTTGTAATAAGAATTCCTGCAATCTTAGAAAAAACGTCACTCGTATGGAACGTGATAAAATCCGAATTTTTCTAGGAAGCAATAAAAGAATGGAGCATATGAATGAAACCATATATCTGTAGAAATGTGCATAAAAATAGTCAAATATTGGAATTCGTTTCAATGTGATAATCATGACCACGAGCGAGGCAAACAAACACCACCCTACTACAAAGGAAAATAACATGAAAATGTGTTTTATTATTTACTCGCTAGCGACTGTACAAAATTGAAAAATTGTCTGTCTGTACTATCATCAAATCGACAAAATCGAGTCTCTTCAATAATTACTAGAAATGGGTTGTTACTTTATATATCTCGGTTACTCAAGTAAATTTATTTTACAAATGAAACACATGAGGATTTTTTTTTAATTTTAGAATTTTTGGAATCAGTCTTCACTTTATTAGAACAATTTTGCTCTCAGATTTTTACTACCTTATCTGGTTAAGTATATATTTTGTGCAGTTAATGCATCGATTGATACAGTGGCTACTTTCTATGTTCCTTACGTTATTAGTTAATTGATCGATTGTAAAATAAAACCATTCTATCTACGACGTCCAACTAATTTACAATGTATTTAAGGTGTGAATTCTATTTCTCAACACGCATATAAGATGTTATAGTTATATAGACTGGGCTGATTGCTTTGTTTTGGCAACACTTCTAGTATCTTAACTCATTAAGGTTTCTTATTTTGTTTTCAAAATGCGTGGTACTTTCAAATATTATCAATTTTAGCCTAAAAAATAATATTCCAGCTAGTACCTATTCCAGTCCCCAAATCGATTTTGACAAGCAAAAATGTCGAGGTCGATTTTTAGATAAATTTTTAAAACAGTTCCTGATTCCCAATCTAGGGACGGAATTCGAAGTATGAGTCAAATAGCAAAAAGGTTTTTCAAGTGTTCACACTTTTTGCCACTGTGACTCAGTGGCATTAGTTTCTACGTTAGAAGATTTCATATCGACGTATTTAAGATCTTCATTCACCGGCCGATTTTTCGACCAGCGGTAGCTAATGGGTTAAGAAGAAAATGGGTTAGAAAGAAAAGAAGAAGACGACGTTTAACTACTGTTAGGTCACTATATTTACATTCCAACCTCATTTGGATGTTTTTTGTCTCATTGTTTTTTCTCTGGGATCACTTGAATGTATTTTAGAGATAAGAGATAACTAACAAACTTAAGGGAATAATAAATAAAATAGTTACTAAATGGCACTGCGTTCATTGATTTTGGCCTTGTCTGTGCGATTTCGTTATTTGTTTTCCGAGGAGAGCACGATTTTTTGGATCCGTCATCATTGTACCATGATCACCGTCCGCTGAAATAACGTGAAAATCCGTTGAAAGATTGTAATTTTCCCAGCCCAACATCGGAAAGCTAGAAAATTTCTTAAAATAATCCATCTCATTCTTGTAAAGGTTGTTCAAGTGGTCAATACAGTCAGGCAACGATAGTCGATCTACTGCCTTGAATAAATGTACCTTCATCGGTAGTGATGCGAATTTGAACGCTGCACAAATATTTCGATAATGATGACGTTGTTTCGATAGCAATGCTTCCCATTCGATATCTGTATTTTTTAAATCTACATACGTCTTTCTTATCTCCTCAATTGCTTCATTCAGAGTAAATCTATTGGCACGTTCCCACCACTTTGAATCATTTAGCGTTTGGAAAACGGGAAATTTATGCAGTACGGATGTTAAAAATACTGTGGTTTCGGTGAGAATATTTTCGATGGGTAGATAAGTGTCGATTAGGCCTAGGAATGAAACACTACAACCACTGTTTATAAGCTGTTTTGCCATTTCGTAGGCTAGAATACCGCCAGGAGAGTAGCCAGCAATGGCATAAGGGCCATTTGTCTGAATTTTCTTCATGAGGGAGATCATTGCATTGGCCATTTCCTCGATGGACGACGGCTGCTTAATCTCTGGCGACGACCACGGTAACACATAAACGGGAATATTTTTATCTATGTCATGTGCCAGTTCAAAAGCGTAGGAGATACCTCCTTCGCCTTCTGGCAACAGAAATAGAGGCGTCTCATTCCCATATTGACGAACTGGAATAGCAACATCACAATACATTCTATTCGAGTGGTGCGATATTTGTTTCGCTAAATCTTTGAGTACCGGAAAGGAAAATACACCACGAGCTTCAATGTTGATATTACAGAGCTTCGCTTTGTTAACAAACTGCATCACAAGCAAAGAATGGCCACCCAATTCAAAGAAGTTATCATATCGACTAATACGATCAATGCCAAGTAGTTCCCGCCAAATTTCGGCCAGCTTTTCTTCCATTTCACCCTGTGGAGCTTCATACTGTTGACGCGCAAACGCCTCATCATCCGGAGCTGGTAGTGCTCGCCTGTCTAGCTTACCATTGGATGTAAGCGGCAAGGACGGTAGACACACATAGGCCACTGGAACCATATAGTCAGGCAATAATGTTGATAGATAGTTACGCAAGTTTTGTGCTATTAAATTACCCGCATCAGCCACCACATAAGCAACCAAACGAGCATCTGATCCATTGCCGTGGGGTTGTACAACCGCCTCGTGCACCTGAGGATGTTCGACTATGTGGGCTTCAATTTCGCCGAGCTCGATTCGGAAACCACGGATTTTTACTTGCTAATCGGTACGTCCTAGATAGACCAAATTGCCATCAGGCAAATAACGTGCTCGATCACCGGTACGGTACATGCGTGCTGCTGGTGTCTCACTGAATGGATCGGGCAGAAAACGTTCGGCGGTAAGTTTAGGACGATTAAAGTAGCCTCTTGCTACACCAACACCACCAATATACATTTCTCCCTCGGCTCCAAGTGGCACTGGCTCGCCGTTTGCATCCAGTAAGTAAATTAGCCTGTTTGGTAGAGGACGCCCAATCGGTACTACCGATACATTTTCAGAAATAGCGTTATCACAAAACCAAACTGTTGCGTCAATAACTATTTCGGTAGGGCCATACGAATTAACTAACACTGTTTGATCATAACTTTTATACCAATCCCTCACAATCAATGGGTCTGACGCTTCACCACCAACAAACACATATCGCAGTCGATCAGATTGTAATTTGGAATCTATCGTCCGCAAAAGCAATTTTAGTAGCGAAGGGGTTTGATTCAGGACTGTGATACCTCTGGTACAGATCCAATCATAAAATTCACCAGTAGAACAAGTATGATTGTATGGTACAATTGACAGTTGACTTCCATTCGACAATGCGCCCCATATCTCCCATACAGAAATATCGAAAGAAATCGAATGGAACAAACACCATTTGTCTTGATTAACAAAACCAAATGTGTCCTGTATAGCCTCAATGTGTCGTACGACTTGCTGATGTTCAACCATTACTCCTTTGGGTGTTCCTGTTGAGCCAGAGGTGTAAATGACATAGGCCAGATGGGTTGGAGTAAGTCCTAGCTTGATTGTGTCCGGATTATCGATTGGCAAATCAGCAGGCAACGGTTTCTCCAAATCAATTAATGGCACATGATGTTCTCCGAGTGCTGTATGGCCAGTAGCATCTGCTAATAAGAATATAGGGTCGGCATCTTTTAGAATGTTGGTCAGCCGTTGGCTTGAATAGGCTGAATCGAGTGGTACATAAGCGCCGCCGGCTTTTAGAATACCCAGCATTGCTACAAGCATTGCTATTCTACGATCAACGCAAAGTGCGATGCGGTCATCTGGTTTGACGCCTCGTGCAATCAAGTAATGTGCTAGTCGATTGGACTGGGCGTTGAGTTCGGAATAGCTTAGAACCTCTCCATTACACTCAACGCCAATCGCCTGTCCATTGCGTTCTACCTGCGCCTCAAATATTTGGTGGAGACATCGCACAGGTGGATAGGTGACCGTGGTTTGATTCCAGGTGTGTAGCAGCAACGTTCGCTCTTCTAGTGGTATCACTTTCAATGTTCGAACTGGTTGTTATGGTTTGTGAGTAAGCGCGTCGGTCAGTGATTCGAGAGCTTGTTGCATATAGGCACAAATCCGAATTGCCGATACCGGCGACAATACATGGACTGATAGGCACAATTCTTCATCGTTGTCATCGAACGACATTGTCAAGGGGTAAGCAGCTGGCGTTGCACCGCCTAATAAGCTGACTCCAGGATATGAAGTATTGTGTTCGGTCCTTTGGTTATGACGATAGTTCAGCAATGCACTGAATAGTGGCAAACCAGCTGGTACTCCGCTGCAGCGTTGTGCCAACACAAGTGGTGCGTGTTCGTGAGCCAACAATGCACTCAACCGAGTATGAGTATGTCGCACCGCGATCCCGACACTCGTCTCATCAATATCCAACCGCAGTGGTAGTGTGTTAATCATCATCCCCATCGTCCTGTCGTTCCTCTCTCCTGCCTGTAAACGGCCGAGTAACACGGTACCGAAGACGACCGCCTCACGTCCGCTAGTTTGAGCAAGTACCTGTGCCCACGCTAAATGACATAAGCTGGATAAACTGACCCGTAATTTCCGTGCGAACTCTCGCACTTGATTGTTTAGCGTCTGTGGCAACATTAGATGTGCTTCGTTTATTGCAGTTCCATCTAGGCCAACGCCACTCAGACCAAACGGCAAGGTTGGCTCGTCAATATCACCGAGCATTTTGGTGAAGAATCGCTTATGCTCATCTTGACTAGCTCCTAGTCGAGTCTGGGCCACAAAATGACGGAATGGTGTAGGCGTTAACAACTCTTCAATCTTTCCATTCATGATGACGTGCACTTCTGCTTCCATTCTCTCCAGAGTTGAATGGTCAATAATCGAGTGATGCGTGAGTTGAAATGCAACCCAATTTCCCTCAGATGTTGGTACAGCAAAAAGACGTAACAGTGGTGCCTTTGTCAAGTCTAACCGGTAGCATCGCAGATAAAATTGGTGGCTCAATTGTTCCAGCACCGGCTCACCAGCGCCATCCAATGTTATCTGTTAGGGTTTAAAAACGCGTTTTTTGTTAATGTTTCAAAAAACGTTTTTCACAGAGCCGTTTTGAAAACGCCGAAAAAAAACAACGGAAAGAGATGAAACGTTTTTTTTTTCGTTTTTTCTGTGTTATTTCTATTGAAATTAAGATAACCTCAATTTGTTTTTTATCTTCGTATTTGTCGAAAAGTTTGTATACCCCAATCTTACCTCGGTGAGTAATGAAGGAACCTGACGCAAAACCACCTGTACCGGTTCACTAAGGCCTTCCCAGATGATGACAGTGCGCAGGATATCATGTCTTTTAATCACTTGTTGCAGAGCGTCTGCATAAAGTTTTAGTGTTGTGCGGTCAATGAAACTCAGTCGATTTATTAGCAAATATGGATCGTCCTCTTCGGCCATTATGTGATGGAACAACATGCCATGCTGTAAGGATGCCAATCCATAAATATCTTGAATGTTAGCTACTCCTCCAGGTACCTGCTCAATAATGGCGTCAATCTCCGTCTGAGACAGAGTGATAAGAGGTAACATTTCTGGAGTGATCTCTGTACTGTCTGTGGTAATCAGATTGGGCGGAATAGCCACTACCTTGTAACAGATGAGAGTCGAGGCCAATATAGCTAGAGTGGGAGCATCAAATACTTCCCTTACGGTGGAATCCAATCCTATTTGTCTTAACCGTGCCAACAATCGTACGACCAACAAAGAATGGCCTCCCAACGCAAAGAAATTGTCATGTCGACTAATACGCTCAATAATCAGCAATTCACGCCAGATATCGGCAAGTGTTTCTTCCATCACGCCCTGTGGGGCTTCATACTGTTGTCGAGCAAAGGCCTCATCATCCGGAGGCGGTAACGCTCGTCGATCTAGTTTGCCATTTGGGGTGAGTGGCATGGACGGTAGACACACATAAGCTGATGGTACCATATAATCAGGCAGTAAAGTTGATAGATAATTGCGTAGATTTTGGGACAAAGATGTATCCACATCAGCCACTACATAAGCTACCAGTCGAGCGTCTGATCCATTGCCATCGAACTGTACAATCGACTCATGCACCTGAGGATGTTCCACGAGGTGGGCTTCGATTTCGCCGAGCTCAATTCGGAAACCGCGGATTTTTACTTGCTGATCGGTGCGTCCCAGATAGACCAAATTACCATTAGACAAATAACGTGCTCGATCACCGGTACGGTACATGCGTGCTGCTGGATTGTCGCTGAATGGGTCGGATAGGAAACGTTCGGCGGTTAGTTCAGGACGATTAAGGTAGCCTCTCGCTACGCCACCCCCACCAATATACATTTCTCCTTCAGCTCCTAGTGGCACTGGTTCGCCATATGAGTCAAGCAAATATACACAAAGATCTGCGAGTGGTCGTCCAATCGAGTAAGCATTTTTTAAAGCTTCGATTCTTTGGTAGGTAGCATGAACTGTTATTTCGGTGATACCATACATGTTGACCAATACCGTTCCATTTTTATCATATTTCTCCCACCATTCCTTTGCAATCAATGGATCAAATACTTCCCCGGCGAATATAAGGTATCGCAATCGATCGAAGCTCGGTATAGTATTTTTTGCCCACATAAGTGATTTGAATGCGGAGGGAGTTTGATTCAGTACAGTGATTCCACTAGTACAGATCCAATCATGGAATTCGTCCGTTGAACGAGCGGATACAATTGACAGTTGGCTTCCATTCGACAATGCGCCCCACATTTCCCACACGGAAACATCAAAAGAGAATGAATGGAACAAACACCATTTGTCATCTTTATTAAAATCAAACTTTTCACGTGTAACCTCGAATAGTCGTACGATTTGCTGATGTTCAACCATTACTCCTTTCGGAGTTCCGGTTGAGCCAGAAGTGTAAATGACATAGGCCAGATGGGTTGGAGTGAGTCCCAGCTTGATTGTGTCCGGATTTTCAAATCGCAGATCGTCAGGCAACGATTTGTCTAAGTCAACTCCTGGTACTTGATGGTCTCCAAGTGCTTTCCGGCCAGTGGCATCTGCCAATAGTAAAATAGGTTTAGCGTCGTTTAGGATATCGGTCAGCCGTTGACATGAGTAGGCAGGGTCGAGAGGAACATAGGCGCCACCGGCTTTAAGGATACCCAGCATTGCTATGAGCATTGTTATATTACGATCAACACAAAGTGCTATACGGTCATCAGGATTGACGCCTTGTGCGATCAGATGATGTGCTAGTCGATTGGCTTGGGCGTTGAGTTCCGTATAGCTTAGTTCATCTCCATTACACTCCACGGCAATCGCATGCTCGTCGCGTTCCACATGTGCCTCAAATAACTGGTGAAGACAGCAAGCAGGTGAATAGGTAAACGTAGTTTGATTCCAAGTGTGCAGAAGCAACGTACGCTCTTTCGATGGCATCACAGTTAGTGTTCGAACTGGTAGTTGTGGCTTGTTAGATAAGGTGTTGACTATTGATTCCAGAGCTTGTTGCATATAGGCACAGATCAAAGCTGCTGACATTGGTGATATCACTTGTGTTGTCAGTCCCAGCGAATTGCCATCATCTTCAACCGACAGACCTAATGGGTAATTGGTTCGCTCTTCACCGTCAAAGAAAGTTACTCCAGGAAATGATGCAGTGACCTGGCTCCTCGTCTGATTATGGCGATAGTTCAGCATTGCGCTGAATAGTGGCAAACCTACTGGACACCCACTACAGCGTTGTGCTAACACAAGTGGTGCGTATTCGTGTGCCAGCAATTCACTCAACCGAGCATGGGTATGACGTACTGCATTTTCGACACTCCTCTCATCATTATCTATTCGTATTGGTAGGGTGTTAATCATCGGCCCAATGATATTATTGTTCTCTTCTCCCCCCTGTAAACGGCCAAGCAGCACGGTACCAAAGACTACCGTCTCACGATCGCTAGCTCGAGCAAGCACTTGTGCCCAGGCTAAATGGCAAACACTAGCCAGACTGACCTGTAACTTCCGTGCATGCACACGTAGGTGATCATTGAGTGTCTGTGGCAACATCAGATTTGCCTCGTTGATCTCTGTTCCATCCAGACCAACGTCGCTCAGACCGAACGGCAAGGTTGGCTCGTCAATATCACCAAGCATTTCAGTAAAGAAACGTGTGTGCTCGGTTGGACTGAATCCTAGTTGAGCATGAGCTACAAAATGACGAAATGACGTGGGCGATGTCAACATTCCAATTTTTCCGATCATTATGGCGTTAACTTCTGTCTGTAGGCTTTCCAGTGTTGAATGATCAATTATTAAGTGGTGTATCATTTGTAGTGCTACCCAGCTCTCATCAGATGTTGGCGCAGCCATCAAACGCAATAGTGGTGCTTTTGTCAAATTTAAACGGTAGTGACGTGGATCGAAGCGGTGGCTCAACTGCTCTAGTACTGCCTTACCACTATAATTTAGCGAGACCTCAGAAAGTATCGAAGGAACATGGCGCATGACAACCTGTGCCGGCTCACTAAGTCCTTCCCAGATGAAGACGGTGCGCAGGATATCGTGTCGTGCAACTACCTGTTGCATTGCGTCTGCATAACGTTCAAGCGACGTCCAGTCAGTGAATTGCATACGGAATACCAACAGATATGGGTCACCACGTTCGGACTGTATATGATGGAATAACAAACCATGCTGCAAAGGCGCCAATCCATAAATATCTTGAATATTAGCTACTCCACCAGGTATCTGTGCAATTATTGATTCTATATCTGCCTGAGAAAGTGTGATGAGTGGCAACATATCTGGAGTGATGGCAGTGCTGTCTGTAGTAATCAGATTAAGAGGAATATGCATGGCTTGGTAACGGGCAAGGCTCGAGGCTAATGCGGCCAGGGTGGGAGCATCAAACACTTCTCTTACGGTAATGTCCAGTCCAATCCGCCTCAACTCTAATAAAAGCCGTACGACCAATAAAGAATGGCCTCCTAGTGCAAAGAAATTGTCATGTCGACTAATGCGATCAATACCAAGTAGCTCGCGCCAGATTTTTGCCAGTTTTTCTTCCATTTCACTCAGCGGAGATGCATACTTCTCACGAGCAAACGCATCTTCATCCGGAGCCGGTAATGCTCGCCGGTCCACCTTGCCATTTATTGTGAGCGGTAAAGATGATAGACACACATAAGCGGCTGGTACCATATACTCGGGGACTAATTCTGACATATAGTTGCGCAAATCTTGGGCTAACGATACATCTGCGTTGGCCACCACATAGGCTATTAGACGGGCATTTGAGTCATTGCCGTATGATTGTATAACTGCTTCTTGCACCTTAGGATGTTCGACAAGGTGGGTTTCGATTTCACCAGGCTCAATTCGGAAACCGCGGATTTTCATTTGTTGATCTGTCCGTCCCAAAAAGACCAGATTGCCATCAGGCAGATATCGTACTCGATCACCGGTACGATACATGCGTGCCGCTGGATCTTCACTGAAAGGGTCGAGTAGAAAACGCTCCGCAGTCAGTTCAGGGCGGTTTAGGTATCCACGCGCCACACCAGTGCCACCAATATACAATTCTCCCTCGGCTCCAAGTGGAACTGGCTCGCCATCTGCATCCAGTAAGTACATTCTCTTGTTGGGTAGTGGACGACCGATTGGTAACGAGGAGCTTGCAGAAATAGTTGTATCACAGATCCAACCAGTTGCAAAAACTATTGTTTCTGTAGGGCCATACACGTGGAATAGCTTTGTTTGATTTTTATCAAATTTTTCATTCCACTCTCTTACAATCAGCGGATCTGACGCTTCACCACCAAACATCACAAATCGCAGTTGATCGTATCGTAGAGTGACATTTTTCGCCAACATAAGCATTTTAAGAGTAGAAGGCGTAAGGCTCAGTACAGTAATACCTCTGACGCATATCCAATCATAAAATTCATCCGTAGAACGGGATGTGCTGTATGGTATAATGAACAGCTGACTACCATTTAATAACGCACACCATACCTCCCATACGGAAACGTCGAAAGAAAATGAATGGAACAAACAACATTTGTCTTTTTTGTTAAAATCAAATTTCTCGTGTACTGACTTGAACAATTGTACTGCAGGTTGATGTTCGACCATTACACCCTTCGGTGTTCCAGTTGATCCAGATGTATAAATAACATAAGCCAAATTGGTTGAAGTGACTCCAAGCTTAGTCACGTCAGGATTATCGATTGACAAATTATCAGGAAAAGGTTTGTCCAAGTCAATCACTGGCACTTGATGTACTCCGAGTACTTTTTGGCCAGTAGCATCTACCAACCAAAATATCGGGTCAGCATCCCGTAGAATATTGGTCAGTCGTTGACTCGGATAGGCCGGATCGAGTGGTACATAGGCGCCACCGGCTTTCAGAATGCCCAGCATTGCTACGATCATTGTATTGCTGCGTGGAACGCAAAGTGCGACGCGATCATCTGGCTTAACTCCTTGTGCTATCAAGTAATGCGCCAATCGATTAGCCTGGGCATTGAGTTCCATATAGCTTAGAATCTTTCCTTCACACTCCACGGCGATTGCCTCTCCATCGCGTTCCACCTGCACCTCAAACAATTGGTGAAAACAGCGGTCAGATGGATAATCGACCGTGGTTTGATTCCAGGTGTCCAACAGCAACGTACGCTCTTCCGTTGGCATTATTGTCAATATTCGAACTGGTTGGTGTGGCTTGTGAGTTAGCACATCGGCTAGTGATACTAAGGCTTCTTGCATATAAGCACCTATCCGAGCTGCTGAATGTGGTGAAACCACTTGAGGCGTTAGTCCCAGTGAATCACCATTATCTTCAACCGACAGTACTAATGGGTAATTCGTTCGTTCCGCACCGCCCAAAAAGGTGACTTCCGGAAGATATGTAGTTATCTGTTTTGCTTTCTGATTATGGCAATAGTTCAGCAATGCACTAAACAATGGTAAGCTGGTTGGAACTCCACTGCTGCGTTGTGCCATCACAAGTGGTGCGTATTCGTGTGCAAGCAACGCACTCAACCGAGCATGAGTATGGCGCACTGCGGTCTCGATGTCCGTATTGTTAATATCTACCCGCAGTGGAAGCGTATTGATCATTGGTCCCATGATATTATTGTTCTCTTCTCCTGCCTGTAAACGGCCAACTAGCACGGTGCCGAAGACCACTGCCTCACGTCCGCTAGCTCGAGCAAGTACCTGTGCCCAGGCTAAATGACATAAACTGGACAAACTGACCTGTAACTTCCGTGCATATGTCCGTAGGTGATCGTTGATTTTCTGTGGCAGCATCAGGTGTTTTTCATTAACGTCAGCCCTATCTAGGCCAACATCACTCAGACCAAATGGCAGGGTTGGCTCGTCAATATCACCGAGCATTTCACTGAAAAATCGAGTATGCTCAGCTGGTTCAACTTCAAGTCGTACTTGGGCCACAAAATTACGGAATGATGAGGGCGATGTCAACCAGAGCCTGGCTTCAGGCCACCACTATTGTGGCGCTCGTTGCGGTAGCCTCGGTAAGTAGCGTCGTTGCCAATGGTTGTCAACAACCCTATCGGGAGACTGGCACATTCGAAATTGTGCCATTTTAAACATAACCTCAAAGTTTGTTGTGTCAAGTGCAACGCATTGTTTCCCGTTGTTAGATATTAGTGCAATAAAAGCTAAATTTTTTTATTTGCGTTTTTTTGATAATAAAATGAAAATGTGCATGTTACACCAACACAAAATCAAAAAGATGAGGTTATGTTTGAAATGACTCGTCATGACACACACAATGGCACATTTGAGAATGTGCCAATCTCTCGATAGGGATCATACAAATGTCAAACGTAGTCAGCTTGTCAATTACAGCCGGGGCCTGATGTCAACATTTCAATCCTTCCGTCAATGATGGCGTTAACTTCAGCCTCCATTTTCTCTAGCGTTGAATGGTCACCAATTATATGATGCATTAGTTGCATTGCAATCCAGCTGTCATCAAATGTTGGCGCAGCCATCAATCGTAATATTGGTGCCTGTGTCAAATCTAACCAGTAGTGACGTGGATCAAAGTAGTGATTCAACTGCTCTAGCACAGATTCGTCTGCATTATCTAATGTAACCTCAGTAAGTAACGGAGGAACCTGTTGCAAAACGACCTGCGCCGGCTGACTGAGGCCTTCCCAGATGAAGACCGTGCGATAGATATCGTGCCTATTAATTACCTGTTGCAGGACGTCTGCATAACGTTTAAGTGTAGTCCGATTAGTAAACTCTATGCGGCTAACCAACAGGTAAGGATCTCCTCGTTTGGCTTTTATATGATGGAACAAAATGCCGCTCTGTAAAGGAGCCAATCCGTATATATCTTGAATGTTAGCTAATCCACCAGGTACCTGTGCAATAATTGCATTAATGTCTGCTTGTGAAAGAGTGATGAGCGGTAGCATTTCTGGAGTAATCTCTGTGATGTCTGTGGTAATTAGGTTGGGAGGAATAGCCACTACCTTGTAACAGATGAGAGTCGAGGCCAATATAGCTAGAGTGGGAGCATCAAATACTTCCCTTACGGTGGTGTCAAATCCAATATGTCTCAACTGTGCCAACAATCGTACGACCAACAAAGAATGGCCTCCCAACGCAAAGAAATTGTCATGTCGACTGATACGATCGATGCCAAGCAATTCTCGCCAGATATCGGCCAGTTTTTCCTCCATTTCACCCTGTGGTGCTTCAAACTGCTGATGAGCGAACGCTTTATCATTCGGAGCCGGTAGTACTCGCCGGTCAAGCTTACCATTGGGTGTGAGCGGTAAAGATGGCAAACACACATACGCTGCTGGAACCATGTAATTGGGCAGTATTTCTGACAAATACGTGCGCAAATCTTGGGCGAATGAATGGCCTTGGTTGGTCACCACATAAGCTACCAAACGAGCATCTGATCCATTGCCATAAGATTGTACAACTGCCTCGTGCACCTGAGGATGTTCGACTAAGCGGGCTTCAATTTCACCAGGCTCAATTCGAAATCCACGGATTTTTATTTGCTGATCTGTACGTCCTAAAAAGACCAGATTACCATCAGACAGATATCGTGCTCGATCACCGGTACGGTACATGCGTGCTGCTGGATTGTCACTGAATGGGTCGGGTAGAAAACGTTCAGCAGTAAGTTCAGGACGATTGAGATAGCCACGTGCCACACAAACGCCACCAATATATAATTCTCCTTCGGCTCCTAGTTGCACTGGCTCGCCGTGTGCATGTGCATCCAGCAGATAAATTCGATAGCTTGGCAGCGGACGACCGATTGGTACTACCAATAGCTTTTCAGACATTTAAATATCACAAATCCAACTTGTTGCATCAATAATAGTTTCGGTTGGACCATACATATTGACTAATTTGGTCTGACTTTCAGCATTCTTTTCATGCCAATCCCTTAAAATCGATGGATCGAGTGCCTCGCCACCAAAGATAATATATCGCAATTCATGGGATCGTGTGTTGATATTTTCCGCTCGCATAAGCATTCTAAATGCTGACGGAATTTGGCTTAGTACAGTAATACCGCTGGCACAGATCCATTCATACAATTTGTCCGCAGAACGTGTGATGTTAAATGGTACAATTGACAATTGACAACCAATAAAAAACGCACTCCATATCTCCCATACAGAACTGTCGAAACCCATCGGAGAGATCACACACATCTTATCTTGTTTATTAAAATCAAATGTGTTCTGGTTATCCGCCATTTGTTGAACTACATGCTGATGTTCGACCATCACTCCTTTTGGTGTTCCTGTTGAACCAGAGGTGTAAATGACGTAGGCCAAATGTTGTGGAGTGAGCCCAAGTTGGCCCGCGTCCGGATTATTGATTGGCAAATCAGCAGGCAAGGGTTTATCCAAGTCAACTATTGATACTTGATGGTCTCCGAGTGCTTTCCGACCAGTAGCATCTGCCAACAAAAATATTGGATCGGCATCGCGTAGAATATTGGTGAGACGTTGACTCGGATAGGCCGGATCGAGTGGTACGTAAGCGCCGCCGGCCTTCAAAATCCCCAGCATTGCTATGATCATTGCTGTGCTGCGCTCAACGCAGAGGGCGATGAGATTATCGGGTTCGACGCCTTGTTCGATCAGGTAATGTGCTAGTTGATTGGCTTGAGAATTGAGTTCTGCATAACTCAGAGTCTATCCTTCATACTCCAAAGCAATCGCCTGTCCGTCTTGTTCTACTTGTGCTTCGAATAACCGATGAAGACTGCGAGCAGGCGAAAACGAAACCGTGCTCTGATTCCATGTATGTAGAAGCATTGTGCGTTCTTCCAGCGGCACGACTGTCAAAGTTCGAACTGGTTGCTGTGATGTGTGAATTAATGCTTCAGCCATCGATTCTAGAGCTTGTTGCATATAGCCACAGATTCGAGCTGCTGACATTGGTGAAATTATTTGAGACGTCAGACCCATTGAATCGCCGCCATCTTCAACTGACAGGTTCAATGGGTAATTGGTTCGCTCTACAGCATCTATGATACTGACTCCGGAGAGTGACATAGTCTCCTGCTCAGTCTTCGAATTATGGCGATAGTTCAGCAATGCGCTGAACAAAGGCAAACCAGCCGCGACTCCACTGCAGCGTTGTGCTAATACAAGTGATACGTGTTCATATGCTAACAACGCACTCAACCGAGCATGAGTATGGCGCACTGCGGTCTCGATGCCCGTATTGTTAACATCTACCCGCAGTGGAAGCGTATTGATCATTGGTCCCATGATATTATTGTTCTCTTCGCCAGCTTGCAAACGACCAAGTAGCACAGTGCCGAAGACTACTGATTCACGTCCACTAGCTCGAGCAAGCACTTGTGCCCAGGCTAAATGGCTAATACTAGCCAGACTAACCCGTAACTGACGAGCATGCGCCCGTAGTTGATCATTGAGTGTCTGTGGTAACATAAGATAGGCTTCGTTGATCTCAGTACCGTCTCCGCCAATGTCACTCAGACCAAACGGCAAGGTTGGCTCGTCAATATCACCGAGCAGTTCACCAAAGAATCTGGTATGTTCAACTGGACTAACTCCTAGTCTAGCCTGGGCTACAAGATGACGAAATGGAGTAGGCATTATCAGTTTTTCACTCTGCTCGTCAATTATAGTATGGATTTCTGCCTGTAGTCGCTCTATTGTTGCGTGGTCACCAATTATATGATGCATCAATCGTAATGCCACCCAGCTCCCATCAGATGTTGGCCCAGCTAGCAAGCGCAATAGCGGTGCCTGTGTCAAATCTAATCGATAGAGACTGGTATTGAAATGTTGGCTTAACTGATGTAGAATCGGTTCACCAGTGTCAAGCATTGTTACCTCCATGAGTAAAGGAGGAACATGGCGCAGAACGACTTGCGCTGGTTCATTGAGTCCTTCGAAGATAAAGATGGTGCGAAGAATATCATGTCTCATTACAAGTTGTTGCAGGACGCTGACGTATCGTTGAAGTGTTGTCCGGTTCGCCTAGCTCAATTCGGAAACCGCGGATTTTTACTTGCTGATCGGTACGTCCCAGATAGACCAAATTACCATCAGACAAATAACGTGCTCGATCACCGGTACGGTACATGCGTGCTGCTGGATTGTCGCTGAATGGGTCGGATAGAAAACGTTCGGCGGTTAGTTCAGGACGATTAAGGTAGCCTCTCGCTAC